GGAGCTGCTCCCGGAGAGCTCGGCTCGCTGGGCCCTGCGCTTGGAGGGCGGCTCTGATCTGTCTTTGTTTTTCTTCTGCAGGTTGACTCCTTCAGAGAGCGAATCACAAGCGAGGTGAGTGTCCCACTGCGCGGGGCCAGGGCAGAACGAGGCTGTTCAGCCGTGTCTGACAGACTCTGTTGTGGTCTGAGCCTCTCCTGGAGGCTCCGTGACACTCAGGAGTGTTACTCCCAACTGCAGTGAGTGTCTGTGGCGTCGTGGCTCTCCCGGCATCTTCTCCCCTTGGCTTCGCGTGGCAGCGGGCGGGACTTGTGCCCTCTCTTTCCTGCCTTTAGGTATTTGGTCTTCCTCATGTTCTTGTTTCACATCATCATCTGCTTTTTCTCTCTCAGGCTGAAGATCTGGTGGCGAATTTCTTTCCAAAGAAGCTATTAGAACTCGATGGATTCCTTAAGGTAAGGACATGTTCCCTGAGTCCTTTTTCACTTTTAAGCCAGGTGTGGAAAGCGACGAGGCTGGCCTGGTCCTGTGCATTTCACCTGGTGAACAACACAACCCTGCGTTTGAGTGCTGGGAGCTCTGGACAGAGAGCCTCTCTTTCCAGTTCTCTTTGTGTGTTCACACATTTATCTCCCCCTGCCTGTTCCCAGTGCCAGGACGTGGGCTGCACAGGCTGCACAGTCGGTTGCTTTGGTCGTAGCCTGGAGCTGGCAGAGCTCTTGGGGTGGAGGGAGGGCTCCTTGCAGGCCTATTGTTAGACTTTTTTTCTGTTTTTCATTCTTATTTTATAGTTGGATAAGAGGGAGGTCTAAATATTTTGTCTTCTCATTGTGTTTGATATGATGGAATTCTTTAGTTCATAACTGAATAACAAATTGCTTTATTTTGCAGGAACCCATCCTGAATATCCACGATCTCACTCAGATCCATTCAGACATGAACCTCCCAGTGCCTGACCCAATTCTCCTCACAAACAGCCACGATGGACTGGACGGGGTAAGGTTACTCTCTTGGCTGTGATCCCTGCTTCTGTTAATTAAAACTTTATGGCTTTCTCTGTGCTGGAGTAGGATATTCCTGTTTAATAACAAGCCATGACGCTCCCAAAGGCTGTTAGGGATTGGTTTCTTGAGCCTGGGAAGTCTGGTGAAGGTAATGCTGTGCTCTGCCATCCTTCTTTGCAAAGAAGGATACTTAGAAACCAGGAGTGAAGCAGAGGCTCAAAAATTTTCGTATTTCCTTTGCAAGACTGTTACAGCTTACGACTAGTTTGTGAGTAAAACGTTTTGTATATTTTAGCCAAATAAGAAAAAGCGGAAGCTGGAAGACCCAGAAGAGACTTATCAGGGTAAGAGTCCCCAAGTCCCTTGTGTTGCTGCCTGCCCCCTGCCCAGTGCACTCTGCCTTAGGGGGGAGAGATCATCTGGACCCCTTTGCCCTGTCCCGACAGCAGCTGCTCTTGCAGGCCTGTCCCTGCAACCTCTGGAAGCCTGATCTACAGACCTTCTGTTGTGCAGGAGTCAGATTACAGCTCTTAAAAGCATAATTAGGACTTCTCTGGTAGACATAAGCAGTGTTTGCTTGAGCCTGGCCTGCTGACAGAGGCAGCTGATCTCCCTATGCTCTGTGGTGAGAGCTCCCCTTGCCTGGGGGAAGATACAGGCTTCAGTTCAAGCTGGGGCAGAAACAGCTCATCCACCTGCAGCAGGATATTCCTTTGTGCCCAGCCTCAGCAGCCTAGAGCTCTCCAGCTCTCACCTCTGCTCTGTGTTTTCTCGTTTCCTTCCTTTGTGGTAACTGCTGCTCTCCCATGTGGAATCTCCCCTTCCCACAGGTTAGCTGTAGCCTGGCTCCGTGTCCGCCTCGAGCCTTTGGGAGACGAGGCGCTCAGGGACCCTCGGTCTGACCCCCTGGAGCTGCTGTTCCTGCCTGATGCCAGGTGTTTGTCTCCCTGCCTCTAGGAACCAAAGTGTTCGTGATGCCCAATGGGATGCTGAAGAGCAACCAGCAGCTGGTGGACATCATTGAGAAAGTGAAACCAGAAATCAGGCTGCTAATTGAGAAGTGTAACACGGTGAGCTGGGTGCTGGGCTGGCGGGGGCAGTGGAATGCTCTGCTCCTAGAGAGGCAGAGCTGCTCTGAGGGGACAAAGCAGCCCATCTGTGTTTTGTGCATGAGGAAAGGCAGGTTTTGTGTGACAGTGTCTAAAGGTGGCTGGGAAGTGGCTATAGGGAAATGATGTGTTCCTGAGCCCTCGAGGAGCTCTGGATCTCCCCTCCTGAAGGAGGAGGATGGCTGTCATGTAGGCTTTGTCCTTGAGGCTTTTCTTCATCCTCCTTTGGCACAGTCACAGGCACCTGCTGAGAGCAGCTGTGGCACTTTCAGGAGAGCTTCCCATGGGAAGCTGCTTGTGCTGGCTGGTGTGGGATCCCAGCCACATGGGAAACAATCTCCTCAGAAGTGTTGCATGAGCACAAAGGACCTGCAGGAGCTTATCATGAGCTGCATGGCAAAGGCAGGGTCTTGGGGGCCTTTTGATAAAGCTTTGAGAGAGGTCCCTGTAGAGATTATGGTGCTGATCAGTGTTGTGATCTTTCCACCACAGGTGAAAATGTGGGTGCAGCTTCTCATTCCAAGGATAGAAGATGGAAACAACTTTGGTGTTTCTATTCAGGTGAGATGCCACTGGCTCTATGCCCTGCTGTAGGAGAGAGCTTTGCTCCAGGGACATGGATCTTGTGGGTTCATGGATCTCTTGGGTTCCTCTAAATCTTTAATTTGGTGATATCCAGCAGCTGCAGCCCTGGGGTTGGTTTAGATTTTAAGCCCAACCCTGAGCTTGATGTGGCATTGCTGAGACATGTTGCTCTCCGAGCCTTGAAGGCCAGCTTCAGTCTCCTCAAGCTAATGGCTTCCTCATCTTCCCTGCAGGAGGAAACAGTTGCTGAGCTTCGAACTGTGGAGAGTGAGGCAGCATCCTACCTGGACCAGATTTCTAGGTAGGCACAAAAGGACAGGTATTGTTTTTGCCAGGTGGGGATGGATCCTCTTCGGAAAAGTAAGGTGCTTGGGGAAGGCCCCCCAGCTTTCCTAGGGCAGCTTGGGCCTGAAGAAAATCTTGGTGCTGTTTATCTGACCTTTAGCCTCTTCCTTTTCCTACCAGATACTATATCACAAGAGCAAAGCTGGTTTCCAAAATAGCCAAGTATCCTCATGTGGTAAGTAAACCGGAGAGTGGGGGTTGATGTGTTATGTGCTGCTGTTTTTTGGGCTCTTTGGGCCACTTTTTTGAGCTGAAGGTCCTGGAGGAAAAAGGGAGATTGTGCAAGGGTGCAGGAGAGCTGTGTCCGGGGGCTCCGTGGGCAGGAGGTGGGGGCTTAGGGAGCTCACGTAGCTCTGCTCCTGCAGGAGGATTATCGCCGCACGGTGACAGAGATCGACGAGAAGGAATACATCAGCCTGCGCCTGATCATCTCGGAGCTGAGGAATCAATATGTGAGTGACAAACTGAGCTTGTCCTGGCTCCTGCACA